CCAAGTCCATAGTCTGACTACGTGGTGTAAACTCTCAGGGTCCCTGAGCAGCTCTGGAAGATGACTGTGTTTGACACTCCTCCTTAGTACCTTCTGGTCATCCTTAACCCCTCATTCACCCTACAGAACCAACCTGGTGCCAAATCTTGTTTCTACCTTCATGATAACTCTCCATTCCTGCACCAAAGACCTGGACTATTGCAGTAGCAATTATGAAATCTTGCCTACCTGTATTCATCGGTGATGGCAATCTCAGCCATTTCTGGCTACTCTTCCTGCTTCTAGTCTCCCCCACTCCAGTCCATCCTTCTGCCCCAAATCTGATCTGCCAAAAGACAGATCTAACCACATCACTCCCCTACTCAAGAAATCCTAATGCCTCCCTGTTACCTCCAGGATCTAATATAAAGGCCTTTGGAAGTTAAAGTTCTTCCCAACCTGGCCCCTTCCTACCTTTCCAGTCTTCTCCGACTTTCTTTTTCTTCACACATCTGTGATTCAGCTGCACTGGCTTAATTACCACTGCTCACCCTCAACCCCTCCCCCCACCCCATGTTCTGTGTCCCTGTCTTTTATGGTGCTGGCTTTCTCTCAGAAATGTTCTCCTGCCTTCCTTCCCTCAGTGGTTACTTTCTATCTGTTCTGTATATATTTGTCCTGAACAGTTAGTTACAAATTATCTCCCCTACTAGAAGGTGAGCTCTTGGAAGGTATGGTCTGGTTTTGTCTTCCTTTGTATCCCCAGTGCTTTGCATCCCCAGCAGTGACTGACACATAGTAGCTCCTTAAGAAATGCCTGCTGACTGACTTACAGATGATAGAATACGAGCATTTGGACAGGGGGTTTCCTCACTGTGAGTTCCTCACAGGCCCAGTTAAAAAAAAGAAAGAAAAATTTGAGGAATTTGAAGAAACATAGGAAGATAACATATGACCTGGTGCTGAGAAAATAATAGAATCAAGAAAACAGTTCACCCAATAATTACAACAATGTAAGGAAAATAATTCTAAAGGAAAGAAAACTTTTGAGTATAGGAAAAAACAATGAAAGCCTTGGAAAGGAAAGAATGAAATATTCTTTCCCACCCTTGGCAGAAAGGTGGGGGATGACTAGGGCAGAATACTGCCCCTCAGGTATATTTTCCTTTGATTCCAACTGCAGATGGGGAAGGAAATTGGAAAAGATTGTAATATACAATAAAATCTATCATAAATATATCCTAAAACTTTTTTTTTTAAGGGAAAAGGCTTCCTCCTAGTGAGGCAAGGAAGCAGAGAGGTAACACACAGTTTGTATCTGCCTATTACATGCCAATCGCTTTACAAACTGTCTCACTTGGACTGGGGGGGCTCTCTGAAGAGTTGAGGTCTGGAGCTTTGAGGGTTGGGGGTTTGAAGGAGGCTGGATGGTATAGTGGGGAGCCCAAGGAGAGCCCTGTGCCCCTCCACTCCCACAATGCGGGCAGAGTGTTGAACTGAATTGACTGGCCGTGGATTTGGAATTCATGTCCAGATTCTGAATATGCTGCTTCCTATGTGTGAGACCTTGGACAAGTCCCTTTCAGCTCTCAATCTGACCTTGGAGGCCTTTTGCTTATTTCCCTGCTTTCTGGCCAGGTTCCAGATAGCTGAGGTTGTTGGAAAAGTGACCTCCCGAAAACTGAGGTGGTTCAGGGAAATTAACAAAGAGATACAGGTCAACTTCTCATTCTTGTTTAGGGATGGTCATCTCAAAAATGCCATAATCCTCTAGGCCTGAGGCACTTAAACTGTGGCCTGGGAACTTTCTTATGTTGTTTTAAATATTTTGATAACTATATTTCGATGTAATTGGTTTCCTTTGTAATCCTATGCATTTTATTCAATTAAAAACTGTTCTGTGAAAGGGTTCATGCCATAATAAAGGTTCATTTTCTCCCTCTTAGGGGACTGAATATCAGGGGAAGTGACTAATTTTGAGAATCACCCTAGTATATTGCATGGGCACTGGCCTTGCTGTCAGGAAGACTCGGGCTCAAAACATTTACTAGCAATGTGACTATGGACAAGTCACTTAACTTCTTTGTGCCTCAGTTTCCCCATCTGTAAAATGAGGAAGTTAGACTTAGTGGCTTCTAAGATCTTTTCCAGCTCCGAATGTAGTATTCTATGCTCTTGGTCCCGTCTTTGGTTTTAGAAAATTGCAATGTGCTGAAGCATCACTTTTATAAGTTTATCTTCCCAGGATTTCCACATGTTGAGCCCTCTTCCCCTTCCTTCCTTCCTTTCTTTTTCTTCCTTCCTTCCTTCCTTCCTTTCTTTTTCTTCCTTCCTTCCTTTCTTTCTTTCTTCCTTCCTCCTTTTCCTTCTTTCCTCTTTATTTCTTTCCTTCCTTCTTTCTTCCCTTTCTTTTTCTTTTTTCTTTCTTCCTCTTTCTTTCTTTCCTTCTTTCTTTCCTTCCTTCCTTCCTTCTTTCTCTCTCTTCCTTCCTTTCTTTTCTTTCT